CGGGCGGCTCCCGGGGGTCCCCGCCGGCGGGATCGCCTCTGGTACCTTTCGGCGGTGATCTCAGGGCAGTGAGGTACCGGTTCCCTCATGATTCACCGGCCGGTGGTGCCCACCGGTGCCGCCGCGCTTGGGCCGGCGCGCTGTGGTGAGGTGCGGCGGGGGCGGGCCGTCGTCGCGAACGTTAGTTTGGGTTTCTGCGGAAATTTGAGGCGGCAGGGGTTGTCAGATTTGTTAACAAGGGGTTGGGTGGGATAATTTTTAGCAATACTTCGTCATCAGCCGGTTGTCAAAGTGATTTTAAAAAGTTTGCCGTAATCACCCCTTAAAGATTCGAAAATGGCAAGGTTCACCCGAGACTTAGGACACGTTTCCTAAATCAGATCACACACGCACACAAACAGATACAGAGGTTAACCTATATAATTAAGATGTTTCTCTTTTTTAAAAAGTAGTTAATTATTGGGCCTTCCAGTACCTAAAGGGGGCCTACAGGAGAGCTGGGGAAGGACTTTCCACTAGGGCATGTAGTGACAGGACGAGGGGGAATGGATATAACCTGGAAGAGGGCAGGTTTAGATTAAACATTAGGAAGAAGTTTTTCACTTTGAGGGTGGTGAGGCACTGGAACAGGCTGCCCCGAGAGGTTGTTGAGGCCCCATCCCTGGAGGTGTTCAAGGCCAGGCTGGACGTGGCCTTGGGCAACCTGGGCTGGTGGGAGGTGTCCCTGCCCATGGCAGGGGGGGTGGAACTCGATGATCTTCAAGGTCCTTTCCAACCTAACCCATTCTGTGATTGGTACCAAACAATCTTTGAAACCTTGAGAAATACAATAGTAATGGGTTATTCTCTTCCTTCATCGGCACCTGTCAGCAGACAGTCTCTGAGATCCTCGTGAAATCGAATCTTTGGAATCCCCACGAAATCTACACTTTAATCTCCTCACGAAATCTACTGTTTGGAAATCCTCAGAAGCTCTGGCCCGAGGGGTGTCCCAGCTCAGGGGGAGGTGCTGGGCCACAGCCTGCTGCCATCCCGGAGAGAGCTCAAGGGGTCTTGCTTGGGATGGCTCTAGTTATAGGATCGCAAGATGATGGACTTTGGTCAGTATTTTTCCATTTTGGCCACAGTTCTTGTCAGGTGGTTCTGGTACCTTCCAGATGGGGCCAACATCCCGCCAGCAGGAGTTTCAGGTAGGGTTGGAACCCTACTATGCACTTGGAACCAGGGCGAGAAGGGACCTAACGGTCCCAACTGACTTGCAACCAAGATAAGAAAGTGCCAGATCGTCCGAGTCCACTGCACCTGCCACCGAGACAAGAACACAACATTGGCTGGTCCTGACATTGCAACGTGGCCCAGGGGGTCTGCACCACCACAGCCTTCTTTAGCTTGGGCAACCAACCAGAGCTGTACTTAATCCAGGTGATGTGGTATCAACGCCTTGTGGCAAGATATTGGTATTTTCTCACCTTTCCTGCACATTTCTTGGGAGATGCTCCAGTATTGTGCTTGACCTCACGCTGCCTTGCAATGCTGCGACTTCAAGGCCAGGCTCATCGCCCTCATTGCATCTCCTCAGTCGTGTTGATCTACTGAGGTCCAAAAATCCTTCCCCTTAGTCCCTTGATCAATGATCTTTCTTTACACTGTATAATTTTATTCCAGGTCTATTTATTTTCAATAAATGATTCCTGTCCTCCTCATCAATAATGCCAACTAGCTTCATAACAGTGAACCCATAAGTTTGTTTCCAATGGTCTGTTTTCTGTCATCACTTCTTTCAGTGCTAGTTGTCACCTGCCCTTTGGTTCTTCACCCAACATCTAGATCTACCAATAATCAAAGAACAGTACTGAGTTTATCTGATGAAACAATGGTGCATTTTACACTGTGTGAACCTCCACACGATGCAAAAAACATTGCTTCAAAATTTTTGCATGCTGTCCATCCTGTGTGCTGAGCAAAGCACACACAGGCAAAATGTGGCTAGCCTTTCCACTGTACGCAGTGTTCCAGCATATTATTTTTATAGTAAAATACATAAAATCTGTATTACATAGATATCCACTGCTGTGCTGCTGCTGCTTTTCTACTCTGCAGCCACTGTATCATGCCAGATACAGCTAATATGTGATATTAATCTCTCAAAGTTTTCTGCTGCCTGAGTTATTTTCATTCCTCTCTTCCATCTTGCCTTTGCCCCCATAGTTAATACCAACACGGGACTTGATCTCCATTGTCTTTAATCTGTATTCCACCCTAATGTCCTAACTTCGCTGCTCTCTTTTGATCTGTATGGACACAGACACTTCAGCTATTTGTTTGCATATCCTTGATTTTTTTTTGTAATTCTGTATTGAATGACTTTCAAGAAACAGCTTTCCTAAATTATTAACCAGTTTCTTCTACCTTAATTTTCGTTCCTGGTGAACTTACCGTGTATTGTTATCTTCCTCCTCAATGCAGTTCTTCCTCTAGCTGATTCTGATTCCCATTTCTACAACTTTTCACTCTGGGAATCAGATCCCTGGGAACCCTAATGCTAAGTCTGCTCTGTATTCAAGCCCTTGAGTTCCTTACACTTGTTGACTAGGCATTTTCCTTAGTTCTGTCAGGCTCCAATGAGGGTGATGATGAGGAAAAACTAACACTTACTGTAAATCATTTGCATCAAGCCCAAGAAGAAGTTGGAGATATTTACCATGACCAGATCTTTGATTAGTTAGACACCTTCCGAAATTCTGTTGTTATGTTTTACCCCAGATTTGTCCATACACTTTCTATACCATTATTGGAAAGTGAAAACCATTGCTAGGGATAACCCACAAGATGAAGAAGGAGGCTGCTCGGTGTGTTTTATTACTAGCTGTTAATGCTACCAAAACCTCTCGTCTTAGTACTCTGAAGATTTTGACCCAAACTATGTAAATTCAGTAAGAGTTTCACCAGTTATATTACAAATCATTTGATTTTCTCTCTCCCCCCATGTTCTGAATTTGTTTAGCAGAGGAGACTTAATGGTGTCTAAATCCCATATAGTCCACTTGTCCTATGAGCACCAAAGCCGTCAATCATATTGTAGGTTACTTTATTCAGATTACATTTATTGCTAATATTTTTAACCAAAACTTCTTGCATTTTACATAAATAAACTTTTTGCTTACAGGTGTGGACTGCTTATAGACTTTTGCAGTAGAACAAAAAAGCAAGGATAGTTCAACCCTTTCAGTGCAGTGCACTGTCACACAGATCCAGCCATGCCTGCGGAAGGGAAAAGCGATATGGAGAGGATTGGCCTCTTCAGCGAAACGGGTTATATTACCATAGGAGATAAATATGTATCACATTATATGCGTAAGTACGTTTAATTTTAAGCACTTAGAAGTGATAGGGACCACCTCTAGGACCCATCTACTTTCAGAATCACTATTTTCTGATGGTTTTTTTTTTTTTTTGTTAAAAGGAACTGCTTTTTCATGCATATTCTTTGCTCAGGCCTTCATTATTAAGGGAAAGGCTTGATATGTTGGAATGAGTATATCAAAGAAAGGAAAAAGCCAGTAAAACTGAAAAATATGTGTGCATAACAGATTGATAACATCTTTTAGTGTATACATTTCCTTTTAATATCAATTATCTGCAAGTTACCAGTATTTTCCTGCTTTTGTGAAAAACAACAGTGGGTTTTGTGTGCTCTTTCAGCAGGTTTTCTGTTCTTGACAATTACATTGTCATTATTTTTAAATTAGTGTTGCAATTCTTTTTCTGTTCTGATCTGACTCACATGTGTGAGATTCCCCATCCTGTCTTCTTAAAGAATGTTCTTCTTTTCTTGTTGTTTAATGGTAATACTAATTGAGAAAGGTATTTTTTGTAATTAGTGAGGTTACAGAGGTTAACCCTCCCTAGCTGCTTTGAAGTAATAACACAAAGTAATCCTGCCTTCCCAATGATTTCTGATGTGGTGTGGTGTCAGTGGTGAGTATGTCTAGCAGAACCCCATCTGTCACATTTCTACCACACTGAGTTACTGGGGATTCAAAACCCAACTGGAGGCACTTAAGCTATTCTACCTGGCCTATAATCAGCGGGAGAGAGAGCTGCTCCTCTGAAATATTACTTGTATTATATAAACAGGCATCAGCTCCAGCTCTGAATTGTAGTCTGGAGTAACCAATCTCTCTCTGCTGCCTGTAAAGCAAGCACAGGGGTTAGAAAACTCAGACTAGGTGCGGCAAATACCTTCTCATAGCACTGTCTTTTGGGCACAACTATTTATGTGCACGATTTACAAGTTAAATGCTCTGTAGTACATTCTTTGAGCCACTGAGATACAGACTTTAGTTTTTTAATGTAGGCTAAGAGCAGCACTAACACTGGACAGTTATTTACAGTTCTTACTTTTTTAAAGGCCCTTTTAACGAAGCTGCGAGCAAGAACAGACAGATGTTACCTGGGGGGACCAAAACACTGTCAGCTCTGCAGGCAGGTTATTTTGAGCCTCAGTTTGTGAGGATTTTCGATGGTGAAGCCTACTCAAACCCCGTTCAGCTAAGGAGACGCTATAGATTGGCAGAATCAAAGAAAAATTTGGGCAAAGCTTTCCTTCCCAGTAATGGAGACAAATTGCCGTAAGTGTTGTAAAAATGTTTTAAATTGAGCTTTTTTTCTTTTCTGTACGCTAAAGATGATTTTCACAGATTATTTCTTATAAAACCTGTAATGAGAGTACAATATTGTCATTTCATACAATGTAGTGTTAGTACCGAGCGAAGGATTTTGAGCAGCAACAGAGGGAAGTCTGAACACAGGCAGAAATCAGGTTCTAATGCTTGCTCTTAACTACTGTTTTTTGCTGTAAAGAGTTTTCTTAAACTTTAGCTTTTTATTTTTGATGAAAATTAAGATGGCTATGGGAAAAGGGTGTGGATAATTAACACTGAATATTTCATTTTAATTTAGGAGGAAGTCTGTTGGAACTTGTCAGATACAATATCTTCTTCCTCCCATTTCTGAGCCTCCCAAAATAGAGGTGGCAAATATATTGCATAAACAGTAGGAAAAGAGGCCGTTTTCCAAATGCAATGTTTTCCTCTCAGCCAATCCATATTCATTATCTTTTTGCTAGAAAAAATGCCAATTATCCTATAGGATGATCAGAAGATGTTACAGAGTTGAGGCATATATGCAGAATATTAAAATAAATGCATCTTTGCTGTTTGCACAATATTAATTGCATGACAAAATGACACCAATGCAATTGGTGCCATATAACTATTATTATTCACATGTGAAAAACAGATAGAGCCTGGTTACTCATTTACAACTATAAAATCTTGTTTTGTTGTTGTTGCTGCAATAAGAGACAGGAGGGTTCAGTCTTTGCACAGAGCCTGGTACTTACAGTCTCACGGTTCCATTGAATCATATCTTTCTGCAGCTTTGCTTTTGGAAAGTCTGTTGGATGTTACCGGAACATCTTAGCTTTTAATAGGAATGTAAGTCATGGTCTGTAGGCTTTCTGTTGGATATATGTGTGCTATTTATGATGAGACAGGCACTGTGTAAGCCCCGTGTTCAAAACCTTCATTCAGCTACAACTTGACTTTATAGCAACCAAATTATTTAACTGTTAGAAACACCTAGGCACTGATTTCAAATCCATGTCAGTCAATGAGAGTCCTGTTCACTTTCATAGAATCATAGAATGATTTGGGTTGGAAGGGACCTTAAAGATCATTGAGTTCCAACCCCCGGCCATGGGCAGGGACACCTCCCACCAGCCCAGGTTGCTCCAAGCCCCTTCCAGCCTGGCCTTGAACACCTCCAGGGATGGGGCCTCCACAACTTCCTTGGGCAATTTGTTCCAGTGCCTCACCACGCTCAGAGTGAAAAATTTCTTCCTGATATCTAATCTAAGTCTATGCTCTTTTCATTTAAAACCATTACCCCGAGTCCTATTGCTGCATGCCCTTGTAAAAAGTCCCACTCCATCTTTCTTGTAGGTTCCCTTTGGGTACTGGAAGGCTGCTGTAGGTCTCCCCAGAGCCTTCTCTTCTCCAGGCTGAACAACCCCAACTCTCTCAGCCTGTCTTGATAGGATAGGTGCTCCAGCCTCTGGACTTGCTCCAACAGGTCCATGTCTTTCTTATGTTGGGAGCCCCAGAGCTGGATGCAGTACTGCAGGTGGGGTCTCACAAGAGCAGAGTAGAGGGGCAGAACCCCCTCCCTCGCCCTGCTGGCCACACTGCTTTTGATGCAGCTCAGGATATGGTTGGCTTTCTGGGCTGTGAACACACCTTGCTGGCTCATGTTGAGCTTCTCACCAACCAGGACTTCCAAGTCCTTCTCCTCAGGGCTGCTCTCAATCCATTCTCCACCTGGCCTGTATTTGTGTTTGGGATTGCCACAACCCAGGTGCAGACTTTGGGACTCTTGCTTACAATGAAGACTGCTAAGGCACTCACTTCCATGTATTGCCTCCACAAATGCACTTGTTGGGGCACAAATGCTGGGGGGACAGCAGCTTGCGCTCTTACTCTTGTTGTAAGACTTTTGAATACTTCTAGACATGAACTTTAGGACAGGTTCTTTTTTGTCTTTATCCTTCCCTAAATCTGTACTGGCAGTGTCATACAAAGCAGAGGCTGGGAAAGTGGTGAGGTTGTCTTTTAATGGAATCCTGAAGCACTTATGGAGAGCAATTATATGTTTCTTATATCCAAAACTGATACGTTACTACAGAACTAGTGTGGAGCTCTGTTGCTGTTCATTGAGTTGTTATTCTTGGCTGGCTGAATGATAAGCAGCTCTTGGGAATCTTTCCTTTACAAGGAAGCCACATTTGTTGTTGGCTGCAAATGGAAAGGTCGCAAATATGTCATATTCTGAAGATGTGACTGAAGCCTGGACCTTTATTTTCTTCATATGTCTGTTCTCTTGTTGTTTTGTTACTGGCGTATAAAAAGCCTACTCACAGAAGTGACATTTAAAGAATATGAAATAAAGCACTGAAGAGCTAGGAAACGCCAAAATAAAGCTTGTCTGTGTATTGTCAGTTTGCCCGTTTTTTCCTATATAAACCTCTGTATGTGGGTTTATGAAGTCCCTAAATAAATGGAGGGTAATGAACAGACAGGTTGGTGTTCTGTGCAAAGAAGACAAATGTTATCTTGACATCCTAATCCTGTCAGTATCCATTAATGGCCCTTTTAAGTAGAAACTCATTGAGACACTTTACTCTCTCCCCACTATAATTGCAGACAGTAGAGGCAAAGGAGATTACCTCTGCTGTCTGGAGTAGTTGACAGATCTCATACAGTAGCCCCAGCTTATTTTTTTTTTTTGTTCTCTTTAGGGATTTTGGGGTGTAGGGACAGAGGGTTGGTTGGTTGGGTCTTTTTTTGACCACCGTAGCTGCAGCTTAGTGGACCAAATTGCCATTCGCCTATTTCATTATTTTGTCTCAGTCCTTTTCTCCTTTAGTAGCTGTATGATCATGTACTTTGAGAGCGTGTCATGCACCTGTCAGCAAATACTGATTTTCAAGGTGGTTTTAAAAAAAACGTCTTTGTGAATTCCTGCAGTTTTGTAAGCAGAGACATTTCTCCTAAATGAGCTGTGCTTCTTTTTACTTTCCTTCTGTGACAAGATGGAAAGTTAACTCATCCTACCACCTCCCAGAAAAAAAATCTTTCAGACAGGCTCCCCATGTTGCCGGCTGCTCCGTTATCATACCAACACTAACTTACTATGCTCCATAAACTTGTGGGAAAGACTTTCCTCTTATCATCAAACATCAAGCCTGTTTAACCTATTCCTCTGGGTCTCTGTGAATCTGTCTCTATCAGTGTTACTTCACCTTGTTGGGGCAAAATTAAAACAACCTCCATTAGGTATATTTGTATTATTAAGATACCTTAAAACTTCATCTCTGCTGCCATCTTGTTTCTTTTTGTCCGTCACAGTGTGTGTGGAATTGCTGTAGTAGTAGATCCACAGAAGGTGGATCTGATCTGGTTTTACATTTAATTCTTGAAATGCATATATTGTTTGCATTTTCTACTTACTGTGGTTTTATCACACTAGATATGGAAAGCCTGAAATATTTGCAAAACATTAATTAATGTGTTCACTTGCTATTTTTAGATGTGGACTTGGCAGCTATTATGGAACCATAGGAGGTTCGTATGCATACTTCAGTCCACAATTGAAAGCCAGAGAAAGATACATTCCTCCTGGAAAGAATTTTTATACTAATCCAGGAAAGAAAGGAACTGGATATGGGTAACTTCACAATATGGCTTCTTGCAGATTATTTTATGAAATCTTTCTTTAGTTTTGAACACCTAAGTAATTAATTTTGTTTTTACAGTTATGCAAACCTTACTATAGGTGAACAATTTCCACATGAACCTGATGGGTATGAAGTAGAAAGAATAAATGCAAAGGTAAAAATATTTGTTTACTATTTTAATTTGTTTTAATTTAATTTGTTTAATATTTTATTTACTACAGCTTACCTGAACTTTTTGTTCCCTGTGGTGTTTCCTTTAGCTTGAAATCACTAATGTTGATTTACAAAGTGGAGGAAGGAAAACAAATTAATGACCATCCTGTATAAAAAAACATTTAGGTATTCTTTGTTTATTATTTTTTCTTTGAGACATCTGGCATTATCGCACAGAAGTGCTACCATTCAGGATTTGACCTTCATTTTTTATTTGGAGACCTTAAGCTAGAATGCAGTAATGGCCAAACAATGCCAATAGCAAGAACAATAATACTTCAGTGTTATTGTCAGAAGAATGGGACCTCGTTATCCTAGATGCTATATTAAAAAATCCTGTTACTTTTTTTCCATAGAAGTTCATAAATCTAAGAAAACTCGTAAATTTGCTTGCACTGATTTTAGTTATCCTGTATATTCTCATCATGTGTACTGAAAAATAGCAGCAGGAGGACATTTTTTGGTCTAGGGTAAGAATGGGATTAGAAGAAACAATTCAGCTACCTGCAGTTGAGACAAATTCATACTCAAAACTGAGCATCCAGTGCAGAAAATGAGAACAGAGAAAAGAGGGAGGAGGGATTGTTTCCACTGGATAGAAAAAAAGGAATTTGCTCTGAGACATTAGCATGAGTTACCAGGTGATACTGTATTACCGGTGGTACATTTTACACTTGTCTTTATACTTGTTCGTAATGTTTTAACCTGTTTTATTTTAAAATGGAATCTGGGAAGAATAGTCAACATCCCCCATGACACAAAGAACCAATTCCTAGAGAAGCTCAGCTTAGCAATGTGCTCGGAATCTGGGAAATGTAGTGGCCAGGGTTCACAAGCGTGAGCAGCTGGGATGTACGCAGGCAGAATTTTCAAGCGTGTGTGTATGCACACGTGCCCAGGTCAACAGGTCTACAGTAGTGCTAGACACATCTTAAATGCATAGGGCTTTTCCTGACATTTTCCTACCTTACTTTTGTAGTGATTGTTGTGCTTCCTGGCCAATGGATCTATGTTCCGTTATATATGGTGGGTATTTAAAATACCTCCGTCATCAAACAAGACCAAATAAAGTTAGAGTGAATATTCTCCAAGACTAAATTTAATGCTTTCCATTTTTCTCTTAGAAAAAATCCTCAAGATTGTTTCTTTCAAAGTATTTGTTTTACAGAAAGCGCAAGAGGAACATAAACGGTTGCTTAAAGGAGGGCCTTTCAAGTTAAATCTGTATCCCCAGGAGTATTTTGATATGAATCCCTATTTTAATGACAAACCTTTGCCACCTGTGAAGAAACCACCTCCAGAGAAGCCAATTGCACCACCTTTCAAACCAAGTTCTCCTGCTAAAAAGGTTAGTTTGTCCTATAGCTACAGGAGACAAAAGATTCAGATATTTCCTGTTAAAAGCTTTGCTTATGGTACAGAAGACAGAGGTAAATGTTTAGTTTTGCTATTCATTTCTTATTTTTCCTACTAAAGATACTGTCGTGGTTTGGGCAGAACCATCCGCTGTGTGAGTGACAGACACTCCCCCCTACCTCTCTTCAAAGAGAGAGAGACTTAGAAGTTTAGAAGGAACTAAACTACTTTCATGAAACATTAATAATAAAATAAAAAGATAATAATGAAATATATACAAAACTGTATCAAGCTCCCAGGATGACAGTCACGTCAGCTGGCACTGGGGCAGTCCCAGACTGGACTCAGTGATGGATGGGAACTGGATGCCGGATCTGCATTCAGGATCGGGACTGGGGTCAAAGGCAGATGAACAGACAGAATCCTCCTCAGACATTGGCCATTGAAGAAAGAGAGTCCACCCTTTGATTCCTCAGCTTTTATGCTGAGCATGAGGCAGATGGGATGGAATACCCCGTTGGTCAGTTTGGGGTCACCTGTCCCGTCCACTCCTCCCCACAGGTGGGACTCCTTTGTGCTTTTCTGCTTCTGACCCCCCAACGGGGCAAATAAGCAAGTGAGCTGCCCGCGGGTGTTAGAGCAGTAAGGATAACCAAGAGCCTTTCTGCATACCATTCCTTGGCATCAGCTATAAACATAGGTCTTACCACTCTGGGAGTGAACAGTGTCTGCACAATATGCTGCTAATTTCAGTATTAGAAGAGGCCCAGCTGAGAAGCAAAGTTACTGAACAAAATTGCTCCTGTTTTACCTCAAACCAGGACAGATACTATTCCATTTACTTTGTTTTCAATTTCCAAAGCAATGAAATCTTCTTTGACCCAACAACAGCTGCTAACTAGTTTCAAGTGACCTAAAAAGTGTTTCTTTTTAAAATCTGCATAGTGCTGTTAACATACAGTTAATTAACTGCATACACCATAAAAAGATAAAAAGCAGAAGGTTATGCAATCAATGACAGTAAGACTAGATTACTGTAGCAGAATGAAATGCTCTCCTATTTTGGACGCTGTCAGTCACTCTTATAATTTTTGAACCTGCTAATTACTCTCAACCTATATAGACAAACATCTAAAAGGTAATTCCTAGAAGTGTCATTTGAATAGATAGCTGGAAGGAGCAGAAAAACTCAGGTTAGTCCCTCTGCTCAGAGAAAGGCTGCGGAATAAACTCAGGAGTTATCTGTTGCTTGTCCATCAGCAGGCACAAATTTGGAATCCAATTTAGAATTGGCCAGCTCTTCAGCGGTTTGGAGAAAAGGAGGAAAAGGTTGGGAATAACTATATATGGAAGGGCTTAGAGGGGATAAGAAATAAACCCTGAAGTGGGTATGAAGGATATATAGGAAAATAGTTCATTAGTTCCAGTTGCTTAGTGTCATTGTTTCTTAAAATCTAAATGGTTATTTTTCCATTCCATACAGGATTCCATCTTGATACATTTTTTTTTGAGATGAGATACTAAATTTATGCCATTTACCATAGGCTAAACTTTAATTTCACTTTGACATAGGTTTAAGATACATAAATATCTCTCTCTTAAATCACTTCAGATACCCAATACAGTGATACTCCTTTATCTGTCCCTTTTCAGCTCTTCGTTCTGGAGTTCCATTGTCAGTCATTTAATACCGTGCTCTGCTAATCATTATTTTCCTATTTTTATGTCCTTCACCCTTGACTTATTTCACTGACATTGATTCTTCTGAGGAAGGTGATGATTGCAAGGAAAGCATAACTGTTCAGAAAGAGACAGCAAAAATGCTTACACGTATATAATTGTGTTGGGTGTTTGGCCTCATAGATCATAGAATGTTTTGGGTTAGAAGGGTCCTTAAATATTGTCTGGTTCCAACCCCCCTGCCAAGGGCAGGGACACCTCCCACCAGACCAGGTTGCTCAAAGTCCCATCCAACCTGGCCTTGAACACCTCCAGGGATGGGGCAGCCACAGCTTCTCTGGGCAACCTGGGACAGTGTCTCACCACCCTCATAATCAAAAATTTCTTCCTAATATCTAATCTAAATCTCCCCACTTCTAGTTTGAATCCATTCCCCCTCGTCCTATAACTACATGCCCCTGTAAAAAGTCTCACTCCAGGTTTCTTACAGGCCCCCTTCAGGTACTGGAAGGGGCTATAAGGTCTCCCCAGAGTCTTCTCTACTCCAGGCTGAACAACCCCAACTCTCTCAGCCTGTCAGATGAGGCAGCTGAGCTCTTTCATAAGGGAAATCTGTTCAGAAAAGTTAGCTGCTAGAAAGTCAGCATATTGTCTGGCTGATGGTGGTGGTGATCCTGCTTCAGGCTCCCCATCCATCACACCATATATGCTTTACCCGTAAATTTAATTTTATGTGTACTTCCCAAGCTACTGCACACTTTCCCTCTCTGCTATATAAATTCTTACTGGAAAAATTGCTTTAGTGTTGATTGAATTGCTTACTGCTGCACTTTTTAAGAATGCAGCCTTAGCAGACTGTGGGGTTTAGCTGTACTAGGGGATTGCAAAGAATTAATCAGGTCTCTGCACGGTTTTTAACTAGTACTAGTGGACTTAGCGTTTCAAGAAAAGCCAATGCTGTGTTCAATCCTGTATGTCAGAAAGCATATTGATAATAATCATAGAATCTTAGAATTGTCTAGTTTGGAAAAGATCCTTAAGATCATCAAGTCCAACCATTAACCTCACACTACCAAGTCCACCACTAAACCATGTCCCTCAGCACCACATCTACACGTCTTTTAAATCCCTCCAGGGATGGTGATTCAACCACTTCCCTGGGCAGCCTGTTCTAATACTTGACACCTCTTTCAATGAAGAAATTTTTCCTAATACCCAATCTAAACCTCCCCTGGTGCAACTTGAGGCCATTTACTCTGGTTCTATCGCTTGTTACTTGGGAGAAGAGACTGACCCCCACCTGGCTACACCCTCTTTTCAGGTAGTTGTAGAGAGCGATAAGGTCTCCCCTCAGCCTCCTTTTCTCCAGGCTGAACACCCCCAGTTCCTTCAGCTGCTTCTCAGAAGACTTGTCCTCCAGACCCCTCATCACCTCCGTTGCCCTTCTCTGGACACGCTCCAACACCTCAATATCTTTCTTGTAGTGAGGTGCCCAAAACTGAACACAGCACTGGAGAAGGGGCCTCATCAGTGCCGAGTACAGGGGGACGGTCACTGCCCTAGTCCTGCTGGCCACACTATTCCTAATACCCCCAGTGCAGGACCCGGCACTTGGCCTTGTTGAACCTCATACCATTGGCCTCAGCCCGTGGATCCAGCCTGTCCAGATCCCTCTGTAGGGCCTTCCCTACCCTCAAGCAGATCAACACACCCGCCCAACTTGGTGTCATCTGCAATCTTCCTGAGGGTGCACTCGATCCCCATCCAGGTCATTGATAAAGATATTAAAGAGAACAGGCCCCAGTACCGAGCCCTGCGGAACACCACTTGTGACTGGCCACCAACTGGATTTAACTTCTTTCACCACAACTCTTTGTGGCCGGCCATCCAGCCAGTTTTTTACCCAGCAAAGAGTACTCCTGTCCAAGCCGTGAGCAGCCAGTTTCTCCAGGAGAATGCTGTGGGAAACCATGTTGACAGCTTTACTAAAGTCCAGGTAAACAACATCCACAGCCTTTCCCTCCTCCACTAAGTGGGTCACCTTGTCATAGAAGGAGATCAGGTTAGTCACACGGGTTAGCCCAATCCCTGCTGTGTGTAACAATCCCTACACCAGTACTGGACATGGAGGTGTACTAGTGACATAGGAATTCCTTTTTTTTGCCACAACATAGCTCATTTTAGCAAGTTATGTTTTTACTTTTTCTGTAACATTTTTAAGATATTTTCCTCAAAATCCAGAATTATGGAAGAACATTTAAAATGAAGAATTAATAAAGATAATGACTAAAATTTTCCGTAAAGTTTCCACTGCAAATTTAAGGAATGTTTGTTTGTTTGTTTATATATGATGCAGTCTGCTATTTAGTATTCTTACTTGCTTTTGCATAAAAAATATTTTAATTAACTCAATTATAGTAGTTAAATAACTCAATTATAGTATAACTCAATATTGTAGATTGGCACTTCAAAAAGTTGGTTTTTTTTTTTTTCAGTCAGGGGGCATGAAAGGAGGCACATTTGATCCTTACCCAAGCCATTCCGCTGACCCTTATGTAATTAAAAAATCTGAGGCTGTTGCAACTAATAAAGAACGGAAGATTTTTCATCCTCCTGCTGGACCAAAAAGCAGACCTGTTAAAAGCATAATAACTTTAAATGTCACAAGGTAAGCTCCTTTAATTTGATTCCATGTTTCATGTATGCTGACTGCCAAAAGTCATTAGCGCAGCTTTATGTTACTGTCTAAAATAATTGAATAAATGAAGGAACAAATTATTAACAAAAGGATAAGAAATGTATAAGGAACTTGGCTTTCTGAATTTATTCCTACTCTCTTCGGTAAATTCAGGTTACTTTATAAGGCTGTATCTATCAAAGAGACCTTCAAAATCATGCTGTACACATGTTATTGAAATATTATTGGGTTTTATTCTTTTCTGACTTGATAAATGTAAAAAGACTGTGAATATTCCTGTTAAAAACAAAATCTGTTTTTGTTGTCCCTTATGTTTATGGAGTAAAACTGGCTCCCTCTGCTGGCAAACAGAATATTTAAAACTGTGAAGATTTTGGAACAATGGCACTCAAGTTGGATTCCTAACTACAAACATGTGCTGTGCAATGATAGAAGAGATTTATAGTACACAGTGCATGTATATGGGTAGATAAGGACATAATTCTTTACTTTTGGTCTTACTAAGCTATTACTCCTATATTTAAACAATTTTTCTGGTTTTGGCTCTGTTGTAATTCAAGCAGAAAAATCAAGACTGTGTTCTTTAGAGTTATTTAGAGAAATCACTTTCTAATGCAGACTTCTAAGACTGCATGTAAAAGAGTTAAGCATATTATTTTGCATACTCCATGTGTAACATGAAAAATTTTAGAAATACTTGATTAAAATTTGAAAAACTGTCTTAGAGGAATCTGCTTCATATTTATGATTTGTCTTTTACATATCATATGTGAAGTCTTAAGAAATACACCTTCCTTACTCACCTGTTGCTGTTCTCTTTACTTTATTTCCCCATGTATCAGCATTTGCATAATCACTTTTTAAGTTGCAGGGATATTTTGAAGTTTTTATTTACACTAACAAGGCAGAACCAGAAGCTACATATTACTCCACATTGCTTTTCATTACTGATGGAAAGTAAGAAAGAATTGAAAGTAACTTTTTGATACACCAAAAAGCGTGGTGACTACCAACACCAATGTAAGAAAGTACAACCTTCCATTTATGCGGTGGTGTTTTTAAACTAGTAAAAGGCAAAAAGAATGGTCTGAATAGCCTTCTTATTAGTGTAATTGTTTGTATTATTGTTTTATCAACAATTATTTATTCACATTCCCAAATGGACTGTTTTTATTGGGAAAAACCCCTAAGTGTATGAGAAGTAGGTTTCAAAATTGAAAGGGGGTGACTGATTGTGAAGTATCCCTGTGTGCTCACAGATACGGTTATCCTGGACTCATGAAAAATATTTGTAAAGAGAAAAATTTCACATATCCAACAGAAATTCCAAAGAGAGAAATTAAAACTAGTATTTCAAATTCTGCACTACTGTTTCCCTCCTAAGAATTTTAAAGAGTGTATTTATTTGGGGTTCATTATTTCTAGGTTTAATAGAATGTGAACTGAATTTATGATAAGTATGAAGCTCATAGCTCATAGTTTTTAAGAAATATGGTAAGATGTTTTTCAAGTCATCTGCTTCCCCACTGAATTACAGTTCTTTATGTACTTTCTAATGGAAAGCTTATCTTCTGATATTTGGACCATAATCCTGTAACTGGATTTGCTAGTGTAGATTCTTGCTCTCATGCAGAGCTCTATTTAAATAAATTTGACTTCATGAGGATTCAAATCATTAAAACTAATTACAGGACTGAGTATACCACAGTTTTCCATTGTTACAAAAACTCTTGTAATTTGTACAGTGATATTCTACAAAAATCTAAGAAGCTTCTCTTCATTTACATTTCAGATCATTAAATGGAAAGAACTACAAGACTGCACATCTGACATCTTACTAGGTACAAAAGGTGAAATGACGGGTACATTTTAAGACTGTTGACAAAGCAAATAAAATGTGAAAAGTGCAATTCAAATATATAGGGCAATTCAATCCGTTTAATTATTGAGAATGCAATCTTTTGTTTCTAAATCTAAAGCAATAATAAATAATTTAAGAGCATTTGTTTATTAAGTCCAAGGTTGCATTTTTATATAAATGTTCATCTTATTGCTTAACTGGACTTTTGCAATGTACTTTCAGAAAACATACTTTCTAATGAGTAATTTGGGTTGCAGATTGACTGTAAATTGCAGGGGAAGGAAGTGCATATATTTTAACATGAGTATCAGTGTATGTATTAACCAGGTTAGTCACATATGGCCCATAGTGAAACTAAGGTCGTTGCTTCCTGTTAGCAGAATTACAACTTGTATTTTATTTCAACTATAATTTTGTGTAGGAACTGTCTTAGAAATATATAATTTTTAGTTTTGCTGACCTTTTCAAATTGACCAATATCAAGGATTGTTGAAAAGCAGACCACAAGCAGGCTGTTAGG